GTGTGTGAGAGAGAGAGAGAGAGAGAGAGAGAGAGAGAGAGCGCGTGCGCACATGTGCACGCGCTTGCATGGAGAACAGTGCTGCTCCTGAAAGGAAGAATTTTTAAAAATCATATTGAGTTAGGTATTTTTCAAGATCTGATAAAAGGAGACAAATTCTTAAAAGCTTGTGCGTCCTCACAAACGAACTAGCATTTGGTCACCAGCCACACAGGACATTTACAACTAAGAGAAAATAAAATTCCCATCAGCTAAATAGTCTTTTCTCTCCTTTCTTCTCAACCACTTTTGCACCCTGATGCTGCAGGAAAGATGGGAAAAAAATAGAGGAAAAGCAAAACCCAGAAGCCACTTCTCAACCTGCAGGAACCCAAGCCAGAGGTCAGGCCTGAACCTGGAAAGAGGTATGAGGACAGGAGTGGGGAGAAGCTTTATATTGGGTGTGAGATTGAGGTTTGGATGCGGACTGGACTGGACTTCTGAGTCGCTGAAAGTAAGTCATGGCCATTTGTGGGGGTCTTTGAATAACTGTGTGACCAAAACTCTGAATCTGTGCTTCCCACTGTGGAGCAAAGAGATCCATCAGAACAGAGCGGGGAGTGACGCTTGGAGAAAAAACAGTCACTTCCTATCTGTGCCTTATCCATTTCAGTGCATTTAACAAGCTGGTGGCGTTTGTGAGGGTAAGGTCTGAAGAGCGTACTGAGTGGCAGAGGTTCGGGGGAGGAACTGTCCGTGGCTTGTCAGTCTGGTTTATTGGGAGGATACCATACAGAGTCAGAATCCTTTGCAGCCAGTCTTGAGGGTAGGTTTTATTGGCTCGATGTGCCCTCGGGGAAATTATTTTCCCACCTCTGGGAGAAACCGTTATCTAAAGCCAAGATTAGTTTGCGGGACTGTTATTGGCCGACCAGGTCGTCTGTCTGTGAAGAATGACTGTAACGCGTCGGAGAATTGCCGTGAGCCGACAGAATGCCTAAGATGGCCGGCCTTCGAGATCGTTGGTGAGGTCATCCAGACAGGCCCTCGGAGGTTGGGGCAGAATGCTTTCAGTCCCCTTGGGGGCTTTCAGATGAGTAGAGAGCTGGAGGACAGTGCCGGTCGGCTGGTTGTAGTTCAGGGTCAGGTCTGGCCTCCAGACGGAGTCGTCCAGCTAGGGCTCTGCAGTCCTCTCAGGCTTCCAGGGGACGTGGATTAATGCTAGAGCTCCAAACAAGTGAGAGAACGGAATGATTTCTTCTGTGTTGAAGGGGAAGCCAAGCCATCTGGACTCCGCACACAGGGGCGTGAGGGAAATCCTGTGGCTCCGCACCTGTGCCCCTTCAGAGAGTCCCCGCAGCGGTTGCCAGGTTACGGCAACAAGGACAGCAGGCCTGGTGGATGTGGGGGCTCTCGGTGAAGCACCGGCTGCGGTCAAGACTGACTCCAGGGTAATCCCAGCTGCCCCTGAAGGTGATTAACTGGGCAGAGGTTGGGAGCAACGAAACTGGGAAGCTGTGGACTTGCCATCAGCTGGGTGCACTATACAGCAGGTGTAATGGCTTTAATTCCTATTGGACACTGTTAGCGCGTAACTGATGCTTATTAGCCAGACGTTCGATAGAGGCCCCACCTTGGGAAGAGAGAGGCAAGAAGAGTCACTTTGTTCTTTATTGTTTTGTTCCGCATCGTGTCGTATTTTATATAGAAAGTAAGTGGGGGAGAGGGGCAGCGGGGGAGAGAGAGTCTTAAGCGGTCTCCGTGCTTAGTGCGGAGCCCAACTTGGGGTTCTGTCCCACCACCCTGGGGTCATGACCTGAGATGAAACCCAAGAGTCCGACGCTTCACCGACTGAGCCACCCAGGTACCCAAAAAAGAGCAAAAAGTAAAAAGTCCCATTTAAAAAAATTTTTTTTTCAACGTTTATTTATTTTTGGGACAGAGAGAGACCGAGTATGAACGGGGGAGGGGCAGAGAGAGAGGGAGACACAGAATCGGAAACAGGCTCCAGGCTCCGAGCCATCAGCTCAGAGCCCGACGCGGGGCTCGAACTCCCGGACCGCGAGATCGTGACCTGGCTGAAGTCGGACGCTCAACCGACTGCGCCACCCAGGCGCCCCAAAAGTCCCATTTTAAATGGACCAACGAGACAATGTCAAAATGTAGATAAAATGATAAAAATCTAGACGATGAGAAATCTAGATAAAATGTCCTTCCCTGCTCAACAAGTATAGCGTCCGTTGGCCCCAGGTCTCCTGAAAAGCCAGGAGAATTCTTGGCAAGACCTCAAAATTCAGGGTCTCAGTCACTATCCTGGGGAAAGGAACTCCCTGAGAGAAGGAAGGTCCCCAGATCTTCAGATACGTTAGCTGCTAGGTGTTAAAATAGGCATAAAAATTATCTTTGAAACTAAGAAGTTTTTTTAAAATTTTTAACGTTTATTCATATTTGAGAGAGAGAGCACAAGTCGCAAAGGGACAGAGAGAAGGGGAGACAGAAACTGAAGCAGGCTCCAGGCTCCAAAGCTGTCAGCACAGAGCCCAATGTGGGGCTCGGACTCACAAACCGCGAGATCATGACCTGAGCCGAAGTCGGACGCTCAACCGACTGAGCCACCCAGGCGCCCCAGACACTAAGCAGTTTTTAATGGAAATCAAGGAAACCCAGCCCCTCCTGTGGCTTCAGAAGGGGGACACTTCTTGCCCACTCGTGAGCACCTTCTGGCCTCCTCACTCTCTCTTTCCGTGTCTTTGATTTGGAAGGGAGATGTTGTAGGAAGCTTTGTGTGACCAGGTCTTTCTTTTTCTTTCTGAAGGAAAAGACCAAACTCTCCATGTGTGTTGTTTTGTGGGAGCAGTGACGGTCTCCATAGGAAAGCGAGACCACCCATCAAGTGGCCAAATACAGCAGGGGCTGGGAAACAGTGGGAATCATGGGAATTGGAGACACCTGGAAAGTATCCCATTGTTGGGAAAATCTTGGACTTTGGCAGGATATAGAAAGGGGTTTCAAGGCAGTCTTACCCTTAGCGTGAAGAGAACTTAGACGGACAGCTGAGGTGTATGTATGATTTTATGCAAATGGTCCTTTCAAACAGAGTATTAAACTTTTTCAACATTTAATTTTGAGAGAGAGAGAGCGCGCGCAAGAGAGTGAGCGAGCAGGGAAGGGGCAGAAAGAGAGAGACAGACAGAATCCAACACAGGCTCCGGGCTCTGAGCTGTTAGCACTGTGGGATCATGACCTGAGCTGAAGTCGGACACTTAACCGACTGAGCCACCCAGGCGCCCCTCAAACAGAATATTTTAAAATGCCTTGCCACTTTCATAAGAGAGAATCAAGAACAACTATTGACATATCTTTCAAAAGAATGAGAACCAACCTGCTCCCCTTGTGACATTATAGCCAAATGACTTAATTTCACACTGACATTTGACGAGGTCCTATATTCTTGACATCGACCTGTTATTGATTTCCACGTGGAAAAGAACATGAAACAGAATTCATATACATGTTAGGCATATGGTTAAGTACACAGTTAATATGTGTTGAATTAAATTTAATCAGGGGCGCCTTGGTGGCTCAGTTGGAAGAGCATGTGACTCTTGACCTCGGGGTTGTGATTTTGAGTCCGACATTGTGTGCAGAGATGACTTAAATATTTAAAATAAATAAAATAAACTTATTTGGGATTTGGATGCTATTACACGACAAATAGTATATGACCTGCAAAGGCATGTGACCTAAATTAAGCATCTATATGGGAGAGTGTCGTTTATCACTTGGGACTGCCAACGCATATGTGTGTGTATACACGTGCATGTATATGTGTATGTCTCTGGATCATTACATTTATATATATGGCGAGAAATTGTGTGACATCTGTTGCCAGTCAGTTTGGTGGCTTGGTTTGACCCAGAAGGCTTTGGTGGGACTGTTTACCTTGTAGGGAGGAGCCTGTGATTGCAGTCGTGTGCCTGGAGGTGAGCAGTGATCCTCAGACATGCTTCCCTTTGGCAGGAAACCAGCAAGCTTCCATTCAGGCTTTCTTCCTACTTCCCGATCTTTCATCTTCCTCCTTATACCTCATCCAAGGAATCACTATAATTGTTCCTTGGAGTGCCAGCTGATGTTTGCAGCTTCCTGTCTCTTTGCCCAAGGGAAAAACGCCGATTTCCTCTTTGCTATTTGGCAAATGTCAAAAGAAAAGGACTGGCTACACCATGTATTCCTTTCAGCACCATGAATGAACATCCTGTGTTTTTCCCCCAATCGGGAGAAGATTTAACTAGCTAAAACTTAATTAGCCTAAGCTGAGAGACTTTTTTCCTATTATTTTTCTATTGCTTCTCCTTCATTTGTTCCTTTTTTATCTTCCAGGAATCCCGATCCTACGTACTTAACAATACCAGGCCTTTATACGTTTGCATATCATGTTTGTCTCTAACTCTTTCTTGCCAGGTTCTGGGAGAATTCTCTGACCTCTTCCACTTTACAGATTTGGTTTTCTGCAGTAATCTATCTACTGTTCACTGGCTCCATGGTAGTTTTGTTTCTTTCTGTACTTGTGTTTTTCATCTGATTTTCTATTGCTTCCTCTTCACCTACGAAATGTTTTCTCAAAACTCTTAGAGAACAAAAATAGAAGTCTTCTATTGTTTTCTCCAGTTCCATGGAGTAAGTCTCTTTCATTGGGAGAAGCCTGTCCTTATTCCCCGGATTAATCCTTTTCTTTGGAATTGCCAACTCTTCAAATGTCTGGGATGTTGTGTTTTTGCTTTTTGTTTTTTGTTTTTTAGGTAAACTCTACACCCATGACCCTGACCCAAGGGTCTCATGCTCTACCGTCTGAGCCAGCCGTGCGCCCTTGGGAAGGTCTTCTGCTTCCGCATCCCGACAGAGTGGTCTCTGCTAAGTTAGGCTAGTTGGGATGGGTGTCCGTACAGATAGTTTATTCCTGGCAGGAAAAGTGGAGTTTCTCGTCTGTGTACTTTTATGTTGCTACAGTGACGATCGAGTTGGTTATAATTCACTATGGAGGGGCTTCCCACAGACAGTGCTATATGCCCAACAGTTTTTCTCTCTGTTTGTGATGGTAGCATAAAGTTACCTAGAGGACTTGCCCCGTCCTGAATTGTCCCGACTGCCTTTTCTGAACCGGTTACCGCACTTGCCCTGTCCTAGCACAGCGCCCGTGCTAGGGAGAGAAACCAGACGAGCGAGCCCCCTGGCCTGCCACTCTGCGGTCTCTGTAGCGGGGTGGTCATGGGACTGTACTGTAGGGGTCCAGGGACTTACCTGCACTTCCACACCAGGCGTGGGGGTTTGAGGAGCATCTGTGCATGGGGCCCTTCCACTTCCCTAAGTCCTCACCTGGGGTCTTCATTCATATGTGAAAGAACAGGATACTGTTGCCCTTGATTCCGTCCTATCCCTACCACCCGCCTACACCTTTCAGCACGTCCCCGGTTTCTTGCCTCCTGTTTTTCAGCAACGGTGTAGACTTTTCCTATTTTTATATTTATGTGAGCAGCTTTTACTTAACAACTATGTCTAGTACAGCATTGGTTTTCACGGTGAGAAGTTGAAAATTAATAGAAGGCTAACTGAATTATGTCCATTGACGTCAAGATTTTTCTGCCAGTATCTCCACCAGTGTTTCTGTGAATTTCCTGACGATTTATGTTCCCATGCTCATTCTGACTCTGAGGTCTTAACTCTTTTTTTTTCCTGCCCTAGAGGAAAAGACATTCTACCCTGTAAGCACCCGAGTTCTTGGTTCTTTTTAACCCTTGCGCTTCCCCTCATCTGGCCCAAACCCAGCCCCCTGCTTCTTTATTCTCCCAAACCATTTCTTTTTTTTTTTTTTCCTTTAACAACCTTAACACTCAGCATGGTGCGCAACATGGGTCTTGAACTTGACCGTGAGCTCAAGACCTGAGCTGCGATCAAGAATCAGACGCTTAACCGACTGAGCCACCCAGGCGCCCCGAAACCATTTCTTTAACCATTCAACAAATGCTGTTACAGACCCGCGGTTTATTGTAGCGAAGGAGGAGGCTCCCCCTCGCATGGAGCTTACGTTCTGATTCAAGGCATTTGTAGCCGTGTTCCTGATGTCATGAGTGAATGCAGGGACAGCTGCTGTGCATCTTTGTTCCTAACTTTTCTTTGGCTACGGCATCACTTAAACGCTTTGCAGCCACCCTTCCTCACTCTCACCCTCTCACCGAATCCCTGCCGTTTTTTTTTTTTTTTTCCCAGAACAAGTTTAGTTATTTTATTTCATTTCCTTTTTCCAGTCACATGCATGGGACCTCCTCTCTCTTGCCCCAAGTGCTTATCAAGACATTTACCTGATCAAGTACAGTTCCTTTCTTTACAACATCCCTGGTGTTGGCTTTCAAAGTGGTTAACTTTACTACCTCACTGCACATATTTGTGGGTTTACGAAAATATAGAGCTAGGGACATACAGTCCTCTGAAAGGATGATACCATATCTGGACTGTGGGATTAGGGGTGAGTCTATTCTGCCATTAACTGATCATCTGCATTTTCTGTTTTCCAAAACGAA